ACATAACTCACCAGGAATGTAGTACCTTCAAGTAGATTTTGGCATACCTCATTTTTCATTCTTCTTCCAGTCCAGGAATGTAATCCACAATAATAATAATAATAATAATAGCTGGTTTTATTTCGTCATTTTTGGCATTGCTGAAATTTTCGGTAGCTTTGATTTTCAATATATCAAGCAAGAGAGCAGGAAAACAGAAGTCTTGATAAGTCCTCTGATTCAGTTGACATCAGATAAGCTTGTCAAAGATATATAATCTGGTTTTCTGGACCCTGATTCAGTGTTTTATCTGTCATGCAAAAGAGACTCATTTGTTCTACCTTTGGTGTGCTAGAATCATCCATTGGCTAAGTGACTTCAATTACTTTTTACAAACAAAAACCTTTCTTTACCCTGGTAATGCATTTTTGTTCATTTCCAAAGTCTCAGATAATTTGTTACATGAGACTATAGCAAATTGAAAATAAATTCCTTAGATATGCTGATCAACTTATTAAAAAAAAACATGTTATATAACAGTACATATTTAAATGAGTTACTGTCTAATTTAAAAGAAAGTTAATGTCCTTTTTGCTCCAAACACATATTTTTTGTTTACTATCAATTAATTAATTTTAATTGAGGTAATATTAGTATACTCAGATATTGCCACCATGGTGTAACCCCCACAAAAATCACCTTTGGTCCCCAGGCATGTTTTTAGTTATTTGGCAAAGTTTGTATTACAGACTTTTTATTTTCTCAATGCCCATATATCATCATACCATTCACTACTGAATGATAAATGTATTAATCAATTGTGGATGTGATTTGAAGGTTTTCTACATATTTGATATTATAATGAATATTCACAAGACAGTAATGAGGTTATTAGCTATAGTTTCTCCTTTCTTCTGTCATTTCATACCTTTATAAATATAAAAGGATTATGCAGTCACTAGAATGATTGAAATTGTTCTTTCTAGAGAAAAACCTATTTGAAGTTGTTTCACAGGTAGGTTGAAGAATGTCATCAACTTGTATTCTTTATGCTTTGTCCCTTATTATATCTTAATGTCTTATAATAACTAAAAATGATTTAATGTCTAAACTATGATTTTGCTCATCTTTTAATATATTCACAATGTATCCATTATAATATCTGGATTGTTGTTGCCATATGTCTATTCCCAAGTCTTCTCCTTCCTTCTCAGTTCTTAGTGATTTTCTTGATCTCTTATAATGTCCAAACACGAGCCTTTCTCCATTTTTACCAATTTTGATAAAATTTAAGAAAGAGATCCTGCTAAAGTCAAGTTCTTTGCCCTTCTGCCATGTTCTTTCTTTCCATCTCACAGTCATTGACTCCCAGTCTTACCCTTAATATAGCTCATAACTGAAAATTCTCTATCACCTAATTCATGTGTTCCAAAGGGACACACACCTACTTATACTTCTCTAGATGTTTCCTCTGGTAGCTGCTTACTATACAATATTCCTTTATTACATTTTTTAAAAGTTCTGTGCCATGGAAATTTTCTAAACTAGAAAGAAATAACATACAGAACCCTCAAGTACTCAGACTTTTTAATAATTACCAATGCATTGCCAATTTTATTATATTATATTTATTATAAGGTTCAATAAATACAAGACAAAATATCATTTCATCTAAACTGTTAAGTTTAGAAGATACAATATATACTGTTAACTATTCCTATCAGTGTAAAATAATTAATACTTCCTGTTGATTGTCCTTTCATAGCAAGACCTCAGATCTACTGACCCTACTTTCATCTTACTGCCCCACACATCCATGACCTCCTCTCTCCTCTCTCTATGTAATTTCAAATACCATAGTCAGTCATTTTACTCACTCCACATTACATTCACCCTCAGTTCTACTTGCTTCTCTTGCTCTTATACTAATGCTGAGAACACTTCTATGGTTAAATCAAACACGATGCCTACTCCATACCTGTGCCCCTAAACAAAGTTGTAAAAGAACCCACAATAACATTGACTGGTCTCATTTTAAATTTGTGACCTGGTAAGTCCTTAATGCTGACTTATTAGTCTATTCCCTTTCCCACATTCTAGATGACTAGTTAATATCTTCTTCCCCCTTCCACTAACATTCACCCATACTTCAAGGAATTTTCAGTTGAAAGCATGACTTTCCAGTTCACTGTGAAAACTCCACATCCAGAAAAGAATTGACTGTTATATCATTACTTCCACCCCTGCCCATCTACCGTCTCCTCTAATACTTGGTCATCAGATTTGATGTTATTGATGATCTTTACTGTTCTTAATTCTCTGTGCTCTAATTGCTCACCTTTTGTACTAGGTTCTTTTATTGCCTACTCAGACATTATTCAGAAATTCAATTCTCTCCTCCATGCCCTCTCCCACCATCTTTTGCATCATTAATTTTCTCTCTTTACTGGAGTATTTCATTCTAGACAGACATGCCGCTATTGTTCTGACCTTAAAACAAGACAAAAATGCAAAAAAAAAAAAAAAGGCAACCCTATGCCCATTCATTTTTTACCCATAGCTATTGTCATTACTTTACTTTTCATCAAAGGCAAATCTTTCAAAGAAAAAAAAAAGAGTTACTTTTATCTGCTATTTCTAGTGCCTGCCCCCCCATTCCCTCTTAAGTCTCTATCAATATCATTTAGCTCTGACTTTCCACTAGCAGTAGTACTTGTGGAAGCCATCAATGTAAATTGCTAAATTCAGTGAATTGTTAACCCTCACATTATTTGACCTATTAGTAGGTTATATATAACCTTCTTGGGCACACCCTCCTTGAATACGCTGTCTTAGTTTCTAAGATGTCACCTCCCATAGGTTTCTTCAATCTCCTTGGCTAGTACCTCCCTTTGTCACAGGGCACATTTCTTGGTCTTGTTTTCTTTTTGTCCATTCTCCCTTGATGACTTGCATTTGTTATCTTCACTGACACCTGATTGACATTTCTGGACTAGACCTCTTTATTCAGCAGTCCACTTAGCTGTCTAGGCACCTCAAAATTAACTTGCTGTATTAATCTCCTACCTCACATTTGTCCTACTCTTCCCTTTCTCAAGTGATGAGAACTAAGTAATTCAGGTTGGTAATGCAAAAAAATAATCTTGAGTCCTACTCCTTTCCACCTTTTCTCTTGCATCCTACATTCAGTCTGTTTAGCTCAGAGATTCAGTATCTGACCATTTCTCTTCATCACTGATGCTGATAAGAACCAGGACCATCACCATCTATTTGAATGGCTCCAGGATAACTGGCCTCTTTGTTTCTACCTGGTAATCACCATGAAGATTTTTCTCAACACAGTAGCCAGGCAATCTTTTCCAAATATAAATTAGATTCCATTTCATTACTTCAACTTAAAATCCTCTAACAGCTCCCAATCTTCAGGAAAACACACTCACACACACAATAACAGGGAGGGCTTCTTCTTCTCTTCCTCCCTTCCCACTCTCCCCCCTCCCCCTCGCTTTTCCTCTGTCTCCTCCCTTCTTCCATCTCCATTCCTCATTTTGTGCATTTTTTCATCTCAGTTGTAATCCCCATGGACTTCCCACCACCAATTCACCTATTGCCATCACCATTGCCCCGTGTACTCTTCAGGGCAGGTTTCCTAATACCTAATACCATTGTGATGATTCAATCCTTATCTTATATCACTTCTGCTTTCTCTTTGTTTTTTTTGTTGACCATGCAAGCCATACTCCTGACATAATGCTTTTGCACTGCAGGTTCCCTCTGTTTGGAACACAGTCCCTCATGGTATCCTTTTTGATAACCTCTCCTCAAAGAGATCTGCTCTGAAACCCTAGGCTCCTCCACCTACATTTCCAGGGAATCTCAGGAATCTCTTTATCTTAATCTACTCTTTCCCCCAATAAGTATATCATCTTGTAACTTATTACCTAACTTTCCTATATAATATTTTCACTACTTATGGTGTCTTGCTCCATGAGTTTGTAAGTCTCACAAGGGGAAAGGATTTAGACATCCTTTTCTGGAGCAAGCAAGCGGTCCATTCAGTGATTTACTTTCTTCTGCACTGTTTTACTCCCATTGCTTTTCAAAGTCTATACTAGTTCTGCTTCTAACAGTTAATCTGGACTCTCTCATGTTAAAGGGTCTGCTTTTTATGATATTTTTCTCTGTATTTACCTTCCTTAATAATATCACATTTTGAGCCCTCCCTGGTGGCACAATGGGTTAGGATGCAGCATGGCAAGCTAGCCTCAGCTGCTTCAGTTCAATCCCCAGCCCCAAAGGTTGCCCACATGGCATGGCAGGCCTCTCTTGACCTGCCTGCTGCTCCCCTCAGCAGTGTGCTTCACTGATCTGCCTGCTTTGCTCCTCACTCTGTCTCTGGTGAATCTTCTCCCTGCCCCTGCACCTCTGGCCTATATCCCAGTTCTCTATGCATAAATAAACAAATGAATCTTTAAAAAAAAATCACATTTCTTGACTTTTTTTTTGCCAAGCTAAATGAGGCATGTGTATTTAATTTTCTGACCTTCAAGTCTTCTTATACTCTTTCTTATTTGTATCCCTTTCCTATTTTTATTTATATTTCTAGATTTCTATCTCATTTCTACAAGAGTTTTATTCTTAACAAATGCTAGATGTATTACTTTCTCCTGATAATGTTTCCTATGAAAAATTCTAGTGCTGTTTTCTACCTTCTATCTATTTGTCCCATCCATCTACCCTATGGGTAATCCACTGAAATGAAGATTCTCTGACTGGAAAATAGTATGAAATTGCTGAGTATTACAGATTTTTTTATAGTCACTTGTTTATTTTTCATATATCTTTTGATCTTCTATTTTAGAAAACTGCAGGTATTTGTGTGTGTGTGTATATATATGTATATATATATACATATATATATATAAAATGTATTTGGTTATTTTCTCTTTTGTTTAATTTTTACTGAAATCACTGAATCTTTCCCTATTGAGTATCAACAACTGTTTCATAATCTTTAACAGGTCATTGCTTTAGTGATGGATATATTTACAGATGTGGACATTTTCAAAGAAATAGTGGAGGCATCAACTCGTGGTGTATCTGTGTATATTCTGCTCGATGAGTTCAAGTTTAATCATTTTCTATCTATGACTGAAAAACAGGGCTGTCAAGTTCAACGTCTCAGGGTAAGAATTGCATGTTTTTGTTTTAAAGCATTTTGTATATTTTTCTCTCAGTCAAATTTAAGGCATGTTAAGATATGTATACTCAAATTTAAAATCAAAATGTAATGTATGTAGGGTGCTGTAATGATGGACCACAGGTGTGTCCCCTTTTACTTTTCAGAATGTGATTGAAAACACATTATTATTGTAGTTCACCACTTCATGGTGGAACACTTAGGTCTTTGAAGTTAACGTCGCCTTAATTTGGCATGCCAAACCTTGAAACAACTGACTGTACTCAAATAATTTACTTAAATTTTTAAAAGAAAGGTGGATTTTAATTTTACTTGTTTTGGCTTCAGGCTTCTATAACCTGAAAGAGTTTCTTGCAGTAGGATCCTAAGTGATTTATGAGACCATCTGTGTAAATGTAAGGTAATATTTGCTATTTAAGTTTAGTTAAAACATATTTTTTCAGTGACTATTTTCCTTATGTATTTCTTTTTTTTACTAAATTTTAAATTTTGCTTTGCATTCATGATTTGTTATAAGTTTAAAATTTGTATTTCGATATACTATTTTGGTACTAGGATTTCATATTGACATATATTTTACTTTACAAACTACCTCCTTGCTAGCCATAATTTTGACTTATATTTACATATAATTCTAGAATATTCGAGTACGAACAGTAAAGGGCCAAGATTATCTTTCAAAAACAGGAGCAAAATTTCATGGAAAACTGGAACAGAAATTTTTGTTAATTGACTGCCAGAAAGTGATGTATGGCTCCTACAGGTAAGACCATTTGTTTACCTCCAGTGATTTTTATTAAATTGATTATTTTCAGACATTAATGCAATTTGTTTATTCTTAAAAATAAAGAGAAGATTATTCACATAGAAGCTTGGAGATCTGGGTTTTAGTCATGATTATACCACTAGAGAATATTAAGACATTCTTAATGTTAGCAAGCAGATTGAAGGTACCTCAGCACCCTCAAATTTGCATGCTTTAAATGGATTCTACTATCTGCCCTATAAAAACAAAACATACTCTTAGTGTGAAAGAATTTTGTAGGATAGTGTACATAGAGAGAGAAGAGAAGAAATATTTTTTCCAATAAAACAACAAAGTTAATCCATCATCTCTTGGTTAAATAATCAAACAGGACTGGCCCAAAGGAGGATCTATGAGCCCCAAAAGCTTGCCAGAAATCTAAGAATGCACGTTGTAACAGGGAATCATCAGAAAGAGCCAGGAGAGAACCAGCAAGTCTGGTAGGAAAGGAACAAAAATCAAATTAAAGTCTGCCATGGTCAGCCAGTTGTCTGTCCGTCACATCTTTTCCAAATGTTCCTCAGTGACTTGCCTCTATATGTCTCCTTTCATGTAATTACTATTCCACCACCAAAGAAAGAATTCAAGAGTCTGGCTGTTAAAAATGCGATGGAAGACACTAGAAAAAGTTACTGGGATCTTTTCCTAGTGCTCCCTGAACCTTTCTAATTCATCATTTTTGGAATACCTACTCTGTTCTACTTTGTCTTTTTACCTGTTTCATACCCAGTCTTTTATAACTGATCTGCAAGCAGTGTTTTCATCTGCACTTTATAAATGTTGACAGTGAAATTCTTGAAAGTGACTTGTCTAAGTCCCCCATAGCTAAGGACCAGAGACAGTCCGGGTCAAGGTGACTGCAAAGAATGATCTTTTATGTGCTTGCTACCTTAATAGTCCATTATAAATATGGACATCCATCCTGCATGGGATACACAGAAACAGGAGAAACAGCACAACATGTGAATTGCTAAGTTACCAGAGCAAAGGAGGCTCATAACCAAGGGCTGTGGGAAGAAGCCAGGAGAGTGGTGGATATAAGTAGAACATCATGAGGGAAATTCTGACCTCTCAAGAATCTAAAAGGTCTGGCCCAGCCTGGTGGCAAATGGGTTAGGACGCAACACTGCAAGCAAGCCTGCAGCCACTTCAGAGTGAGTAGGATCCCTGCCCAGGAGGTGACCCACATGGCGCAACAGACCTCTCTTGACCCGCCTACTGCTCCCCTCAGCAGTGTACTTCATCAGTCAGCCTGTTCTGCATCCTCCTCTGTCTCTGGTGAAGCCTCTCACCGCCCCTCTATTTAAAGAAAAAGATTCTAAAAGGTCACAAGAGGAGGCAACATGTTACAGTGGGGGTACAGACAAATTACCTAATTTTGTACTTTAGTTTGCTTCTCTATCAAATGAGCATAATCATAACAACTACCTCAAGTTGTTGAAGATTAAATGAGTTAATGTTTCATGAGCCCTAATGTTAACTATGATTTTAGGCCTTGCTTTAACTTTTTATCTGCTAACATCCTCTTTTGAAAATGCTGTTTAGCATTCCAAAGGAAAACTTGTTAAGAGAAGAAATTACAACTAGTGATTGAAATTAATGAATCCTTTTAAAGACTCATTAAATGTGTATATACTTGTTCAGACCCACTTAGTTTTAGTGTTTTTTTAATTGAAATGTTAATTAAAATTGGGAGTTTACTCAAATTATAGAATGGTGCATGTTATTTATCCTCATAATAATTAATGCTTTCTATCTTTATTATGTAACTTGTTTTTTTAAGATGTTGTCTATAGTATATTCACCTCAACTATGTTTAGCTATCTACTAAGTATTAATAGGTGCTCTGTGTTGGGGTGATTGTAGCTGAAATACTTTAGAATTGAATTTTGGAAAAAAACAACAGCAACAAAATCTCTTTATCTTTCTATCTATATCTAAGGCAGAGACAAAATTGAAGCTGCTATTTATGGAAGTTTATATGGAGTGTCTCAGACCACAGATTACAAATATTCACACAAAAAAATTATGAAACAACTCCATTCTCTTTATTATTTCATGTTAATCTTAAATATACTTTAAGTAATCAGTGGTTGTCAGCTATTGTCACTTTTTTATTAGTTATCATGAACATTTTTTTTTATTGCCAACAAAATTCTAACTGAATCTGGTGGAACAGTTGTAAACCAATCTCTATAGAAACTGCATCAATTTTTACTTTCCCTGGTTAAAAACAGCCTTAAACTTTCATATTCCAGTCATTGATTTTCTTAAAATTTCTTCCTCCTGAATCAAATTATTTGCCATACCTATCTATATGATCTAAACTCCCAGGATGTCCAGAGAGGCGTGGCATCTGTACTTAACATAGTCACATATCATGTGTCAATTCAGGCCTCATGGTGATGGCTTATCAAGAAAATATAACGAATGTCATGCATTCATACTGACATTGGTGAGACACAAATCTTAAGTACTTCTTAATCAATTTGTGAAAACCATATTATGAATTCAGTACCCTCATTTGAGCATTATTTAGCAAGGAAGATAACTAATAAGGAATTATCCACAAATTAGCTGAGAAAGAATTTTCAAAACCTTCTTTTATTCATCTTATGATTGCTATGTAAGTTACTTTCAAAAAATTTATAACAACTTTTAATATTTTGATTTGTGAATCATATAGCTTTATTATCTGTGCAAACTAAAAAACAAAATGAAACCAAACAGATTTCCATACACAAAAGAAGCAAAAAATCAAATGATAAATTACACTAAGTTTGTCATGTCCATGGTGCCATCTTTGTTCAGGCTTACTGATCATTGCATTTAGACATAAGTACTCACACAGTTTTCTGTCACTATCTTTACTCCATGGATGTCAGTTTACAACCCAGTGCCAGGAACTCAGTTTTTGAGCCATTTTTTGTATATATGAATTCATAACCACACACTGAACTGCATGATTAGTATGTGACAGTAGGTTTGGAGGGGGTGAAAGTAGTAAGCTAATTTTTATTACAATAAATATGTTACAGGTTTCTAAAAATCAATTATTAGTAAAAGATACACACTATAAAGCATTCATTTTGGTTCTCCATCTCTATCTAGCCCTGTTTTTTGTCTTCCAGATGCAATTATTTGACTTTTTTTTTTTTTAGCTATTTCATCTGATACTTTATCCATTTTTGTAAACAAAGTGACTATACTATCTCCCAGTACAACACTTTTAGATAGTATCTCTTGATTTTGTATTATGGTAATTGAGGGTTAACTTTTCTTTTCAATTTTTGCTGAGCATGTATTTTGAATATTTGTTACCTGCACCATTTTGATAATGTCCTACTCATGTTTTATCGATATATTATTTTCTCTTAATTTCTTTGTCAATATTGATTATAGTTTATGTAAATGTTCACAACAATTCTTTGTACATTCTCTCTGTTTCTTCAGGTATAAGTGTGTATGTCTCTGTTTTTCATCTAAGCTACCAAACTTTATAAGCTGTCTTCAGCGTTCTTCCTATGTCTGCTGATCTTTCATTAAGTGTTGATATTTAAAAATGGAATTCTTTAAAATGGAGTGAAAATTATGTGGCACATGCTTATCAACTGTTGGATTCAGGGCAGAGTGATTGACTAGTAATCTGAAAATTTAACAGAAAGATCACTAAATGTTAATGTAAATGGTTCTTTATATGAAGTTGTTCAGCATTTCCAGAGGCTAATCTGAATGAATGTATCCCATTGAATGTCTTTCTTTTACCTTAGATTATATTAGAATATTGTTTTCTGATTTACCAAGCCAGGAGAAACTTTTCTAATTGCCACACATTAACTAGTAATTTCCCTTCTTAATTTCCTAAGCTCAATACTTGGAGAGTTTTTATTTTATTTTTAACCATAGACATCCTTCATGACATACAGATTTACCAACTCTTGCTTCTTGTTATTGGCTCAAACTTTTCATTCATCATTCCAATTTTTATTCTGCTTGAGATTCATACCACATTATTATAATGACTTTAAGTTACAGTAAATTCAGTTTATCTTTCAAGTCTGCATGTAAGGTAGCTACTAGAAAGAGTCATTCTTTAAATATATATTTTATTGTAAAAATATCTAAATTTGGTAACAAATCCTACACAAATGGCTTTCTAGAGTTTTCCTACTAGCTCACCAATTTCTTTATAACTTCTTTACTATAGCAAAATACAATTTGTTTTCTGTGTTCAGTCCAAACATGGCCTTCCTTGCTTCCTTCCTGTTTCCATGTTTCTTCTTCCAAATATGGTGTCCTTTCCTGTCCCTCCGGATCTGAATTTCTGGGATGTAAACTCTCAAAACAATTCTAAACTCCCTCTGTCTCTGAAGATTTGTTCATATTCTATAGCTGAGTTTTCATTCTCTTACTTGCTGTTTCTAGCATATTTTATGTTTATATCTTCAGCTGAAATGAAAATGCCTTTAATGTTCACTTTTATACACTTTTTTTTTTAAACAAGCCTGAGGGCCACTCATCTGTACATGAAGGGAACCAAGTAAATAGCCTTTCCACAGCACACACTCAGTTAGCAGGCTAGATAAATTAAGCATATCAGAATACAATATCTGTAAGTTATACAATATTGCTTGTGGTGTTTTCTCTGTACTATTACTGTACACATTCTTTTACCGTTTTTATCTGATTTTGTTATTGTCTCTTTCCTCTGTATAAATGGAAAGCTGTTTCATAGAGAATAATCTTTTTCTTTTATGTTAAACCTCCTTTGTATTAGATTTATTATTGACACCTGCATACCAGCAATTCCTCCTTTAGCTCAGTGTCTTTGTATGTTATCTAGATTTATTGAGCTTTTTTTAAAGTTGGGATTTGATATTTTATATGAAATTTCAAGTCAACTGTCACCTGTAAACTTTAGGAAAGAGACTGAAGTTCCATGAAGTACTGTAATATAGCTATGAACTTTAATTTCCTAGAATTTGTATATTATACTAAAAGACCTTAATTAATATTTGAGCTGGCATGGTTTATTGGAATTATATTTACCCATTCTGTGTATACAAGATGAATGAGTATTCCTTTTAGTGACTGTGACTGCTACCCATAAATACTCTATAACAGCTGACCTCCAAAATTAGACTAAGTCACAGAGGAAAAGTACATGCATTTTCACAGACCTATCTTGTATTGACAGTTTGAAGCTAACTTATAACAATTATACCATACAGGTTCTCTTTATAGACAGTAGGAAATGGAGGCCCACATTCATGGGGCAACATAACCAGAGTCAGGTCTCTCAACTTTTTCTCCAATTTTAGCTTCCCTACCCCTTGCCAGGATGTTATATATGAAATATAATATTATCGCTTATGCCATAAATATTTATAGCCAGAGATGCAGAATGTACTGCAGCCTTTTCTTTGGACTCCTGGAAAGTAGGGCAATAAATTAGGGGCATGTTCAAAGCCAGAACTTGAGATGCTTTGTTATTTAAAATCAAATATGAAAGAGAGGGGACATATCTATTGGGAACACATAATGATTGGAGATCTTCCAAATTATGATAGCCAAGGAGAAAACAAAAGTAATCTTTCATAAATATTAAATAATATATTTTTCCTAGTAGACCTACATGTCATTATGAATCTTTTAGCTTAGCAAAATTAATATTTTTCAATTCTGATTTTTTTCCAGCTACATGTGGTCCTTTGAAAAAGTTCACCTCAGCATGGTTCAGATAATCACAGGACAACTTGTTGAGTCCTTTGATGAAGAATTTAGAACTCTCTATGCCAGATCCTGTGTCCCCACTTCATTTGCTCAGGAAGAATCAGCAAGGGTAAAGCATGGGAGAGCACTCTGGGAGAATGGCAATTACCAGCGTTCGGTTTCTTCATTAGCTTCTGTTTCCAGCCAAAGAAACCTTTTTGCTAGGCAAGATATCAGTCACAAACTAGATTCGAACTACTTCAAAAACAGAGGGATTTATGCTCTAAATGAACATGACAAATATGGCTTAAGAAATCATGGATACAAACCACATTTTGTTCCAAACTTTAATGGTCCAAATCCAGTCCGCCAGCATCAACCCAATCAGATGAGTGAGAATTGGAAGAGGCATAGTTACGCAGGGGAACAGCCAGAGACAGCGCCATACCTGATGCTTAACAGAGCTCTGAATCGCAACATTAATCCTCCTGGTAGTTGGAAAAGGCCTTCAGATAGTCTCAGTGTGGCGTCCTCATCGCGGGGAGGCTATATCAGTCACCATAACACACCTGCACAGAGTTTTGCTGACCGCCTTGCACAGAGAAAAACAACAAACCTTGTTGAGAGGAATTCAAATATGCGGAGGTCCTTTAACGGGACAGATAATCATATTCGCTTCTTGCAACAACGAATGCCAACCCTTGAACACACCACCAAGTCATTCTTGCGTAACTGGAGAATTGAATCCTACTTGAATGATTCCGAAGCAGCACCTGATGCAAACGGATTGGCTCTAGGTGACCGGTTTGATAGCTACGATGGGAATGAGAATTTGAAAGCCAATGTCCTCTATAATCATTCTCGACTCCGTTCCTCTTTTGTGTTTAAACCAACGTTACCTGAGCAGCAGGAAGTCAGCAGCTGTACAACTGGTTCCTCAAACTCAACTGTCATTGGTTCCCAAGGAAGTGACACACCTAAAGAGGCTCCAGACACCCCTATAGCTGTACAGCGTTCTACAGATAAACCCTTGCCAGAATCCATCCCCAAGGAACCGTCTCCATTAGAGGCACCAAAAATGCACATTTTGCAGGTTCCTGAAAGCCACTCCACAGTGTTAAACCAAACTACAAATGGCCACACAGAGACAAATAACTACTTGTATGCAACATTGTGTGTAAATAAGCAGACAGAAAACCTAAAGAATCAACAAAATGAGAACGTGCTTAAAAGGCGAAGTTTCCCATACTTTGACCATTCAAAAGCCAATTTGGATCACGGCAACAATAAGCATTACGTCTATAGTACTCTTACTAGGAATCGAATTAAACAACCAGAGAAACCCAAAGAGGATTTGCTGAAAAGTTCCAAAAGCATGCACAATGTGGCCCACAGCGGGGAAGAGGAGGAGGAAGAGATCAAGAGAGATCCGGCAGGAACCACTGCTACCAAGTCAATTTCCATTGCTGCTTTGCATGATGTGAACAAAGAAGAACCTAGCAAAGAGATCATTTCAAAGAAGGAAGTTAAGGGTTCCCCAAGTTTTTTGAAAAAGGGATCTCAGAAGCTAAGATCATTACTTAGTCTTACCCCTGAAAAGAAAGAAAGTCTATCCAAAAATAAGGGGCCTGCCTTTTATAAAATGTGTAGTAGTTCTGATACTTTGGTTTCTGAGACTGAAGAGAACCAGAAACCAAAAATATCAGAACCCAAAACTGAGGCCTCTCCTAGACGAAAGCGGTCTTCCTCATCAAACTCACAAGGCAGCATTCATAAGAGTAAAGAAGATGTAACAGTTAGTTCATCTCAGGGGAGAAGTTCTCCATGTGAGGAAAGTAATAAAATAATCCCATCACCAGGGGCAGCTGAAAGAAAGTTCTTGGAAAGGGCAGGAGATGCCTCTGCCCCAAGGTTTAACACCGAACAGATCCAGTACAGAGATTCAAAGGAGGTAAACACAGTTGTTGCTCCTGAAAGAAAACCAGCTTCTCCAAGACCCAAATCCAGTGAGCTACTAAGATCTCAGTCAACTGATCGGCGTGTTTACAGTCGTTTTGAGCCATTTTGTAAGATCGAGAGCTCTGTTCAGCCAACAAGCCACTTGCCAAACTCCACTATACACCGCCCAGAAATAAAATCCCCTACCATGGGCAATAGTTACGGAAGGTCCAGCCCAATGCTAAATTACAATCCTACTGTTTATCATTCATATCAGCCAAATGAAAACAAGTTTCGAGGATTTATGCAGAAATTTGGGAACTTCATACACAAAAATAAATGAAATATTGTAATTTCAAAAAGATTTTAAAATACAAAATGAATGTGTCTATGCTTGTCTAAAGAACATGAACGATATAGTTTTTTTTTGTAACATACCAATAAATTTATATAGGGGTGATTTGGGGTGATGTATGTGTTTACTAATATACTGATGTACAGTAAAGTTCTTTTTCTGTGATATAGTTAATTCTGCTTATTTACACTACAAATGGTATATCTTGTAAACCTAAGATTTTTTAAATGGTAATGGTAAAAAATGATTAAACTGTACTTTTTAGACTGAAAATCTTTAAGCCTTCAGCAGAAACATTAGAGAAGAGATAGTGTATGGATTTCAACCATTCATTCCAAAATCTTTCCTTTAAAAAAAAAAAAGAACCATATCTATCCATGACTCTTCATCAGAATATTTATATGAAGTTTTCAATCTTTACAAGATAGAGGACCAAAGCTTTTTTGTTTCTACTTTAAATTTTACCTGACAACATGTTATATTTAATAAGTGTTTTATTTTCTTTAAATTTTACCTGACAACATGTTATATTTAATAAGTGTTTTATTTTCTTATAACACATGCACATCTGTTTGGACAGTAAACAATACAACTTAAACTACAATTCCATACATTTTTAAATTTTCTGAGTTGGCAAAGTATCAGCTTCATGTAGTACACAAATACATCATAGATATTGATGATCCTCATCTGTTGAAAATCACCCAGAATGTACTTCTTAGCACTCCTTCCAGTGAGCATGAATTCCCTCACTCACTGCTGCTGGTCTTTTGCAATCAGTCCTTAACTTCAAATTTAGAGCAGTCAGGAGGAACTTGGAAAATGTGGAGTATCTCCTCCTTAATATAAAAAAATAGTAAAAATGTAAATTGTGAACAAATTTTTACTTAAACAAGTATTACAATACTTAGTTATGTTATTTACAGAACTCTTCTTGACTCTTTTTTAAAACTCTACGAAGCATTGTGTAATGTTCTTGAGTTTTAATAAGAGAACCATGATTGAAATGAGAAGGGTTCCTGGCTTGCTCTTCAATGGCTATAGGAATAACTCTTCCTGGAATTAGATTTTAAATTTCTCTTTAAATTTAGTGATGATATTAAAATTAAAAGACAACCTTTGCCTTCTTTAGACCCGATATCCATTCCAGAAACCTTAATTTGGCTGTACGTCATTAAGAACAGAATTTAGGTAACAATGCAGTATTAGAAAAATGTCAAGTGTTTGTGCAACACTTGAAGTATATTATTCAACACCCTCTAAATTTCTCTATGAGGCACTATGTCATTGTTTTAAAATTTTAAGATTCAGTCAAATACTGATAAGCATACATGTCGTTAAAATGATTTCCTGTTGTATTTAAGCCATTTTAAGACATATAACAAGAGACAACATTACAACAGAAAAAGAAAACTTAGTATTTTCTGAGTACCTACTCTAGAACCTGGATCCTAAAGCTTCATTCATTGTTCTCATTATTTGTAGAGAATTATTGAGATATTAAAACTCAAAGAGGTATTAACCAAGTCACATAACTTATAAGCAATGCTACTAAAATGTATATTGCATTCTGTCATGTCACAATACCTCCCAGCTGTGTTCAATATCCTCTTTGCCCATACTGTTGTGTATTAAATGAGAAAACATCTATTTATATCCCGACACAACAATAATCAACCGAGAAAGGGCCTAGTGGAATTCCACTAGACACAAGAACACACAAGGGCTTAAATAATCATAGTAGTTGGCATTAGAGAATTAAATTAAGATTGATTGCTGAATGCAATCTAGCAGGCCACTTTTAATTGTTAGGCAGTCTTTTTTTTTTTTTTTTATCTCATTCTGGTAGAGTTGTAGCAATAATAAGGGGAAAGTGAATTTCCCTTTAAGTGAGGTAAGTGAGCTATAACCTGTTTCTATGCTAGAAAAAGAAGTCCATTAGGATAGCGAGCCAGGCAAGGAATGGTGATCAATATTAAATACAGTTGACTCTTGAAGAATGTAGTATCTTTGGAGAATTATAGTTCTACCCCTGGAAAAATATATATATATATATATAACTTTTGACTCTCCAGATACAGTTAACCCTTGGTATGGTGGGGGGATGAAATCCACAAATGCTCAAGTGTCCTATAATATGTTCCCTGTTCCAGTCCTCAGAGAGAGGCAACCTACTTATCTATGCAGATTCCACAAATAAAAAGGTGTAAGTGGACCCATAAAGTTCAAACTGTATTGTTCAAGGGTTATCGGTACATTTTCTCATTGAAATTTCTTAAGTAATTCCTATTATAACATAGGAAATTTCTAAGTACTACAATTGGGTTTTTATTATTTTGTGAAGGTGAGTAGATAGGTTGGAAATTTTGTATAGTTCCTAATAAATTAATATAATAAAAATTAAGCTTTGAAGCAATCATGTTTCTCAGAAAGGTATCCAAGTAAATTTACAGAAGAACATTTGAATTAAAAAGGATAATATTTTGAATATGTATTATAAGTAATTCAGTGGCTATAAGAAAATTGTTTCTAGTTACTACTCAATTTTATGAAGTTTAATATATTGGAAAGTATTAGTATTGGGGTCCATTGAATGAAAGATTTTTCATTTTGCTTTTAGAAATCACTTCTGTAATACTGTTCCGTAGGCTATTATCCAATCACAAATGGCAGAAACTACATTGACCAAACTAGGCTGACTCAAATATCAACCATTCTTTACAAAAGACTGGGCATCTTTCAGAGTGAAAGGGACAATGGGAAAATTATACTTAGGCATCACTGAAATTCAAAGTCTTCTGATTTAGAACAGTCAAACTTTAAAGCTAAATTTCTGTTTGTGTCATGTTTAATTACATGCAAAGTCAATTACCTTTTTGTACAGTTGCTGCCATCATTTCTGGAAGCAATCCACTCCTGAGCCCCTTTCAAGTGTAATTAGTGAGCACAGGATGCTGTATTTCATCCTTCTGTGACAGGTAGGTTAGGCTTTTACACAGCAGCTATATAATCTGCCTTTTTATCTCATTTTCCTTCTATTTTTTTCTGCCAGAAATATCTATATGTCAGAATCTATGCAAGGTAACTTTCCAAAGTGTCTGTGACTGAGAAACTTCTCTGGATTAAGACTGAGCAAGCACATAATTCTTCTGTTAACTTGCTCTGAATTTAAGTTTTAAACAGACTCACCCAAATTTTATGGATATAACTTCAAGCAACATACTTTTATTTCCATATTCATATTTATGGAAAGATAGTGTCACTTCCTGTGCTTCCACATAAAATTTCTGTAACATAAATTTTACTCTCAATATATTAATTTGCAATCAGAAAGTCAAGAAAAAAGTACCATTTCAAAATATATCTTGGCAAATAAGTTCAGATTAATTTAAGTGACTGTATTCTGAACACACTCACATCCACTATTTTAATGATCAGAACTAACAATAATCCTGAAGAGATATATTGAGGTATGGGTAAGTGTTGGCAATCTATAGTTCTGGAGCAAATGTCTTGTTTAATTAGGTGATATCTGGAGTGATCCAGATAGGCAAAGAAGGTTGAACTCTGTATTCAACTTTAACTTTACTCAAGATCTGTCCAGTTACTCCACTATTATTCTACAGATATTTAATCTCCATAAATATCTGTTGATGTTTAATATTACTCTGGCTAAGAGATATGTAAAATTATTGTTTCCTGTTAAATATGTATACCTATATGTGATGCTGTTTAAAAAGAAATCATAATACTCAGCTTGTTCTTAGAATATTTAAAACAAAAAGGATGAAATTATAATCCAGAGTAAATTTTATATAAATATTATGTTAGCAAAGAAAAATTCTTCCAAATTAATTTTTGTTTTTAAATCTAATAAATATTGAATAATTTTGTACAAACATTAACACATTGTAAGTTGTTTTTTTTAATGTTATAACTTGGATTTCTCCATTTAAATTCATGCTTTTACTTAATTATAATCAGATTTATGTTTCTTCATGAATTTTGAAATTATCTTTAAAACAGTTTTAATTTTATTTTGATTATATTTCATACAGTAATTTATCCACATTTGTTATCTAGTAACAATACTCTTCCCTTAAGCAACAATAATATATACTCCCATCTGTTCATATTCCAACTCTACTGGAATGTGTAATTTTTTTTTAAAGATTTATTTATTTATTCATACAGAACTGGGGTACAGGCCAGAGTAATGCGGAGGGTGAGAGGATTCACCAGGGACAGAGTGGGGAGCAGAACAGGCAGATCGACTAAGTACACTGCTGAGGGGAGCAGCGGGCGGGTCAGGAGAGGTCTGCTGCGCCATGTGGTCACCTCTGGGGCAGGTGGGGATCGAACTCATGCTGAAGTGGCTTTAGTTTCTTACTGCAGTGCTTTAACCCACTGCGCCACCAGGGAGGGCCTGGAATGTGTAATTTTATATAACTTATGACTTTGGAAAATGTTTCTTTTTAAAAATGGTAGCTGACTTTTTAAACTTGAGGCATTTAATTTGAGTAAAATTTCGCTAAATGTGCATTTGGATTAAATCAATTGTTGATATTAAGCTGCAAGCCTAAGTTATTTAAAACACAAAATGTAATTTTCTTAGGAAAAAAATCCTATGGCACAATTATGATTACGTTATAGTTGAAATATTGTGTATTGGGAATCAATATCATTTTAAAGGCTAATTTACTGTTTAAGTAGTTGCATACAATTTTAAATAGGTAACTAAAACCAAATTTAGATTTCCTCCATTTACCATAAACATTGATGTTTAAGAAAAACCTAGCCCAATTGGAATTGCATAAGGTTTCAATAGGGAGATAGATGAGGTTCTATTTTTGTGACAATCCTAAAGGAAAAAAGGAATTGTCTGGTGATTGGAACAGTCAAAATCCATCTTAAAACATTTGAGCGAGAGAAAGATGAAGGTCTTAGAAAGGATTGGTTGTGTTTTTTGCCTGAGGAAATGAATCATG